TCAAGCCAAAGCAAAGCAAAGCTCAGGGTGATCACAAAGTCACACAGCATTCCGAGCACAAGTTCAAGGCCACAATGGCCAGTTCACATGCAAGATCATATATTAAGAGAGTCAAGTAAGCAATAAGACAAGAGTATATCATATGCGAAAGGTACAAGCAAGTGCAGAGGAGAGCAAGTGAGGCAAGACAGGCACAAGACCCAACTGCGTGCAAGCAACGCTGATGATCACAAGGCGCAAGTGCCTTGGTGAAGACATCAGCAGTGTTGGCCTCAGAGGCCACGTACGCAAGTCGCAAGCTGTCCACGCTGCTGTAGCTCACGAGCAAGAAAGTAACGAAGAGCAATGTGCTTCGTTCTGTGCTCCAGTCGCTGCTCTCGACACAAGGCCAGCATGGCCTTGTTGTCTACGTACAGGACTGGAGGAGAACGAGGCTGCTCTCCAAGGTCGGTCAGCAGGTAGGTGAGCCAGCGTAACTCCTGTGCAGCCATAGCCCCAGCGTAGATCTCAGCCTCACAGCTGGAGCCGAGAACAGAAGACGAGCGGGTAGCCCGCCACGAGACAGAGCCGGAACCAAGGCTGAAGGTGTAACCCTGTGACGACCGCTGCGTAGCCTGGTCGTCAGCCCAAGAAGCGTCTGCGTGCCCAGTGAGGACCACTGGACTGCGCCCTCCAAGCACTAGCCCCATGCCCGACGTACTGCACAAGTAGCGCAACACCCTCTTCGCTGCAGCCATGTGCTCTGGTCGGTGTCTCCCAGGAGCAACATAGCGTGCGAGAATGCTAAGAGGGTATGCGAGGTCAGGTCGTGTGCAGGTCATCAGGTACATGAGGCAGCCAACAAGCTCTGCAAACGGGCCACTCGACTCTACGGACTCATCCGAAGGCAGAGCTGAGAGCGAGTGGCGAGTAGGCAGAGGAGTGGCCTGAGGCGAGGAGTACGTGAAGCCGAAGCGCTGAAGGACCTGCTGCACCATGTGTGACTGAGTCAGGGTAATGGTGCGGCGTGCTCTGTCCCGGGTGATCTGCAAGCCAAGGTAGCTGCGCAGTTCACCCAGGTCAGTGCACGTGTGTCTCTTCTGCAGCTCGGACTTCACGTAGGCGAGTCCAGCAGTGTCAGCTGTGGCAAAGACCAAGTCGTCGACGTACACGAGGATGTAGAACGGCGGCAGAGAGGTGTCGGTGCGCAGAAACAGCGACGGGTCGGCAGTGGAAGGAGCAAACCCAAGTGCCGCCAGCGTAGTCCTCAGTGTGTCGTGCCACTCACGTGGCGCCTGGCGGAGACCGTAGACTGGACGCCGGAGACTCCACTGGGTACCAGGAGGGAAAGACCCAGTGAAGCCAGGTGGGCGACGCAGCCAGATCTCCTCGTGCAGGCTGCCCTGCAAGAAAGCTGTGCTGAAGTCGAGAGAGTGCAGGCTCGTAGTCACGGTGAGCAGCAACGTGTAGCAGAACCCGAAGAGTGGTCATCTTCGGGGTGGGGGAGAAGGTCTGAAAGTAGTCAACCCCCTGCCGCTGACTGAAGCCACGAGCCACGTAACGCGCCTTGAAGACAGGCGGAGAACCCGGCGGCCGCTTCACCCTGAAAATCCACATGCCACTGACGATGTTCGCCCCAGGAGGGGGGAACAGCGTCAACGTAGGTGCCTGTGGACTTCCAGGAAGCCATCTCTGCATCCATAGCTGCCTGCCACTGAGAGGAGTAGGGACCCTCTATCGCCTCCCGCGTAAGAGCGCGGAGTCGGGATGTCTGGTGCATCCGGGTCTCCCTCAGGGGCTAGCAGTACAGACGCGAGACGAGGTGAAGCGGCGGCCAGACACTGGAACTCCTCCTGCCTGTCCTCAAGGACGTCCGTGCCAAGGGCACACTCACCCCCGACGGACGGAGGACAGGCGGACTCAGACTCAGTGACAAGACGAGCAGCGTAGTCTAGACGACAGCGCGCAGCAAAGTCGACAAGCTCAGTGACAAGGGCAGACGCAGCAGACGACTCGAAGGAGGGGTCAGTGACAGCATGTAGCCAGGAGACGCGTGACAGTAGGACTGGCAGCACGAAGGGCAGTCCGACTCCGGGTCGGCAAGAGCAGGAAGAGAGGAAGCAGGAGGAGAAGGCAAAGGGGCACGCAGAGGAGCAGTGGACGGACGCAAGGACATCCGGTGCGTGCCAGGGACAGGAGGAGGACGCTGACGCGGACCCGCGACCACTAGCGCGCTCAGTACGAACAGGCGACACAGGACGAGACGCAGGCTCACGACGCTCAGTAAGACCTCCAGTCGGACCAGCTGTAGGGAGAAGGAGCAGGCAAAGGGGAGGCAGGCTGTAGCTGTGGCTGTGACCGGACAGGCTGCGGACCCTCTAAGGGAGGAGGAGGAGGTGTAAGACCAAGAACCTGCTGCAGGAGCGGAACGAAGTACGGTCGGGGGCCGCGCGGCGACGCTAGAAACAGCAGGAACAGCACCAGCAGCCCCGGCAGGAGCACCCACTCCAGTAGCAACCTCCAGCAGCACCACCAGAAGCTCCAGAACCTCCAGCCGCAGCACAGGAGCACTGTCAGTCGGGCCGCCAACGGCAGCTCAGCACCAACACCCTCAGCAGGACCAGCTCCAGGAGAACTCTCAGACTCAGCAGCTCCAGCACCCACAGTACGAGCACCGCGGGGCGCGCAGCAGCAGTACCCTCTGCAGCCGAAGAACCACCAGCACCAGCAGCACGCCTCCAGCGCCCGGCAAAACCACTCACGCAGCTCCTGTGGGGAGAGTGGCTCCCGGCGAGACGAAGCACCCCCAGGCACAGCACCTCCAGGCTCAGCACCCCTAGACACAGCACCCCCAGGCACGTCACCCCCAGGCTCAGCACCCCCAGGCTCAGCAACCCCAGGCTCAGCACCCACAGGCTCAGCACCCCCAGGCACAGCACCCCCAGACTCGGCACCTCCAGGCACAGCACCCCCAGGCTCAGCACCCCCAGGCTCAGCACCCCCAGCTCGGCACCTCCAGGCTCAGCACCCCCAGACTCCGCACCCCCAGGCTCAGCTCCCGCAGCAGCACCAGAGTCACCAGTGACCTCGACAGGCTCGACTGCGTCTACCTGGGACACACCTGAAGGGGCAGGACCCTGAGGGGGGAGGGGGACTACCGGGGGGGGACCTGGTACCAGAAGAGCGGGGGTGGGGGGAGGGACGGAGTGCGGTAGGGGAAAGAGGCGGTAGTAGGGTACCGACTCGTCGAACGTGACGTCCTGGGAGGACAGAACACGTCGAGAGGTGGGGTGGTAAAACTGCCACCCAGGGGCGTCGGGGGGGAACCCCAGGAAAGACGCAGGGAGAAGCACGAGGGGATAGCTTGTCCGCAGACAGGTCGCGAACAAACGCCCGAGATCCCCAGACCCGGAACGCCGACGCATCGCCAACCTTCCCCGTCCACAGCAAGGGCTGGGGAGGTCTCCGGTCGAGAGACCCTGGGGTGGAGGTTGATCTGGTGCGCAGCGTACCTGACCGCAAACGGCCACAGAAAATGGGGAGCAGCCGCATGCATCATGGACGTACGAGCGACGTCCATGACCATGCCAATGCGGCGCTCAGCAATCCCATTCTGCTGCGGTGAGTCCGGAAGCGTGAAGGTCTGACGGATGCCCTCGTGCACGACAGTAGGCACTCAGGAGGCCAGAGGAGAACTCTCCGCCTCTGTCCGAGTGCAGACGCAAAACAGGGAAGTCAGAGCCAAAGCTCCTCCGAAGCTGGAGACGAGCTGCGCGGATCCAGTCGATCAACACCGCAGTGACCTCACCCTTGCTGCGCAAGGGGAAGACTGTGGTGTAACGCGAGTAGTCGTCAACACCAGCAGGAAGTAGCGCTCCTGACCCTGTCCACGGACGCGGGCTGGGCCCCACACATCCATGTGAAGCGTCTGCAACGGGGCCTCTGTCGGAGGAACTGGGAGGAGTGAGGGGCAGCACGCTGGCGCCCCTCGACACAGGGGACACAGGTAGGGGCCAGGGCCCGGAGGAAGGGGAGGGAGAGACCGGGGAAGACCAGACACAAGGACTCGCGAGGCCATGCCTCTGAGCCGAAGCAGAGAGGGGTGGCCAAGGCGGTGGTGCCAGAGGAGGGTCTCGTGAGACAAGACGACGACACGAGCAGGGGGCAGACTCAGGACCAGACCTGGACGCTGCAGCAAACACCTGACCAGACGAAGTGACCCTACCAGACTCAGCACCTGGAGGAGAAGCAGTGGTCAGATGTGTACAGGCTCGACCCTGGCCGACGTGTAAACGTAGCCAGGTGGCGACCTGTATCCGCCTCCGTGCAGTGGGTCACCCGCTGACGAGCAGGGGTGAACTGGTGGACACCCGCATCCTGGAGGTCAGCACCACTCACCAAGTTCGTCGAGAACGAGGGGAGGTAGAGACCAGTCAGGGTGCCAGAGGGGGCCCGCCGGACACGGGAGGACAGTGGAGAAGCGAGACAGGACAGGCCCCCAGAGGGGTCAGCCAGGGACACCGCAACCGGCCGACTCAGCGGCGTGAGAGTGGTGCGGTCCCGAAAGAAGGAGCGAGACGCTCCAGAGTCAAGGGTGAAGTGTGAGAGGCCGAAGCCGACACAGTACCTGAGAGAGGCAGACTCACCAGCACCTGAGAGCACAGACGCACTGGCACCTAGAGCAGCAGCCTCACTAGTACCTGACGCGGCAGAACCAATGCCCGGGTCGGGCGGGAAACACCGGTAACAGTCATCCTCATCACTACCAATCGACAGCATACATAGCAGAGAGAATAGCATCAAAATCAAGATCATAAATAGCTACACCAGCCCTAGACAGCTCTCCCCAGGCGGGGGATCTCAGCTGCCTCCGGAAACTGCTGACGCCAGGCGTCAGTCAGGCGGCCAAAGCAGCGCGGGCAGTGTGGGCGCCTCCACACCTCTCCCCTGCACGGTCACCGGTGCGAGAACGTAGGGGCACGGACCAAGCGCACCACCACGCTGACGGCTGCGAGTACCACTCACGGAGCTGCTGAGGGGCGGGGACGGTGCGAGAGCGCTGCTGCTGCTGTGGCTGCTGCTGCGGCTGCTGCTTGCTGTTGCTGCTGGCGCTGACCACCCCCGGAGCTGCTCCGCTGGGAACGAGCCACTCCGACCTCCGCCTCCACCTGCCACCCCCCGCCTCCACCGCCACCACCCCGTCTCCACCTCCACCTTCCCCCACCAGGACCGTCGCTCCCACCGCTCCCACCGCCTCCTCCGCTACCACCTCCGCCGCCACCTCCGCCTCCACCGCCGCCACCAGTACCTCCACTCCCAGCCACCACCCCCACCGCCACCCCCCACTCCCCCGCCACCCCCACCGCCTCCTCCACCGCCCCCTCTAGCTCCACCCGCTCCCTTGCCCCCCTTGCTCATTGCCAGCGCGGCGTCTGCCGCTGGGGGCAGACGCCGCGCCGACCGACTCAAAACCAGTGAGGTCGGCCGCAGCGGCAGAGGCGACAGAGGGCAGCAGGGGGGAAGGACCACACCCCTCAAGATAGGGGTGCGAGGGTCACCCCGAGAGGCCCCTACAGCGACAATACTCTTCTCAGCCGCTAGCAGGGACTCCTCAAGGAGGTCGACAGTGAGAGTGGTGGGACAGACAGAGAGAAACTGGTCCCTAACGACACGAAGGGACTCAGGGAGACGGGTGACGAGAAAGTAGAGAGTGATGTACATGGGAGGAGGGTTCGCAGCGCGGAACTCAGCAGGAAGGGCAGCGCGGTAGCGGGTGTCACTAGCACGGAGGTGGGTAACGAGGTCAGCGACAGTGGGAAAGGAAGCGAGGTCAGGGAAGAGAAACGGTAGCATGAGGCGGCTAAGGGTAGCGGAGGAAGGGGAGGAGTAGCGTGCAACTACAGCGTCCGTACAAGGCCTGAGCGGGTCTTGCACTGACTAAAGTGGGCACGCTCAGAGGAAGGGAGGTGGCGACGCACAGCAAGACGTGCAGCAGCATCGCGGGTCGCCCACTTGGAGCGAACGGCAGAGTCAGCATCAGCAGTGGGGCAGGACAAGCGCCAGAGACAAAGTCAAAGAGAGAGACCTCATCTATCGCATCACACAGTAAGTAACAGCTGCAGGTCTTCAATCCAGACGGCAAAGTCAATGGCCCTCCCCTCAGCGTCAAAGGTAGAACATTGGGGGTGGCCATGGACAGCAGCTGAAAATCTCACACCGGGCTGGGAGAGGCGGGTAGGTCAGCAGCAGAGGAAAACAGCACGGCTACCGCAGGCGGCTCGGGCGGCGCGGGCGGCTCGGCGGCGGCTCGGGCGGGCGGCTCGGCGGCGGATCGGCGGCGGCTCGGCGGCGGCTCGGCGGCGGCTCAGGCGGCGGCGGCTCGGCGGCGGCTCGGCTGCTGCTGGGCGGCGCGGGCGGCTCGGGCGTCACGGGCGGCTCGGCGGCGGCTCTGGCGGCTCGGCGGCGGCTCGGGCGGCGGCTCGGCGGCGGCTCGGCGACGGCTCGGCGGCGGCTCGGCGGCGGCTCAGGCGGCGGCGGCTGCTGCTGGGCGGATCGGCGGGGCCGCGTAGCAGAGTGGCGGCGGGGCCGCGACCGAAGAGAGCGGCGGGGCCGCGTAGCAGAGGGCGGCGGGGCCGCGTAGCAGAGGGCGGCGGGGCCGCGTAGCAGAGGGCGGCGGGGCCGCGTAGCAGAGGGCGGCGGGGCCGCGACCGAAGAGAGCGGCGGGGCCGCGTAGCAGGGGGCGGCGGGGCCGCGTAGCAGAGGGCGGCGAGGCCGCGTAGCAGAGGGCGGCGGGGCCGCGATCGAAGGGCGGCGGGGCCGCGTAGCAGAGGGCGGCGGGGCCGCGTAGCAGAGGGCGGCGGGGCCGCGAGGCAGAGGGCGGCGGGGCCGCGTAGCAGAGGGCGGCGGGGCCGCGATCGAAGGGCGGCGGGGCCGCTAGGGAAGGGCGGCGGAGCCGCGAGGGGGAAGGGCGGCGCAACGGTCCGCTAGGGGCGACACGACGGGTCGCTAAAAAAAAAAAACGCGCCTCGGGGCGCGGTTCGGTGGGCCCTAGAAGCAGTCCCTAGGAGGAAACCTGCTCTGATTCCATGTGAAAACAAAGAACGAGAATGGAATGACTTATGAACGAAGTGAGTACAAATAGGGAAACCCTAATTGGGTTGTACCCCCTATTGGGATACCCCACTATAGCCTACAGAAACAAGTAAGCTATAAGTTCTGACACTAGCGTGTGCAAAATAAAAGAACAAAGGGCCTAGCGTGTGCAAAATAGCAAGAACAAGGGCATAGCGTGTGCAAAAATAGCAAGAACAAGGGCATAGCGTGTGCAAAATAGCAAGAACAAATGCCTAGCGTGTG